GATTGAATTTGATTACAATACCATCATACAATAAAGAATCATTTAAGAAATCATTCTCATATCAAATTGCCTTTTTGGTAAATCAATTCAAAATTAACGATTTTTCTCTCTCGGTAGCTACATTTAAGAGGACCCTTAAAAGTGATTTACTGTCTCAGATATCATAAGAAACATATATCCTGCTCCCTCTTTTCTCTTCTTCTCTTTCCCCTCACTCTCACTTTCTCTTCTCACTCTTAATTTCCATTCCTCTACTTACTATACTTCGATATATTTCTTAATATTAAAGCTTTATTAATTACCAATGTCTTAATAGCCATTTGTATTACTATAGAATTGTTTAAATTTGTTTGTTTTTTTTTGCTCTAGCAGCTGCTTCTTTAAGGGGCAAGCTGATGTAGCCCTTTATTCTCTTAAGGCTTTTTTGTAATTTCTCGTCAGATCACCATGTGATTGCTGACGTGCAATTCGGCTTTCGTTCTGAGCATAGTACGGAACTACAGGCAGGTGGAGCATGTAAGCAGGGGGTTCACCCTGAACAAAAGTACTGGTATCTTGCTTTTAGATGTATCGAAGGCATTTGACAAGGTGTGGCACATGGGCCTCTTGTATAAGCTCATCCAAAAGGGTTTTCCATTTTGGCTACTAAAACTATTGAAATTTTTTCTAGAAGGAAGGAAGTTTCGGATCAAAATTAACAATGTGTTGTCAACAACAGAGCCGGTGTTCCTCAGGGTTCGGTCTTAGGACCAATCCATTATTCACTTTATGTACATGACGTCCCTTGCCCCAGCAACTGTGAAGTCTATCTCTATCTCTGTGCTCACGATACTGCATTGCTGGCCCAGTCTTGTTCTGGTAACCTGCTTCACGACAGGCTGCAGAGTGCGGTGGAGGAAGTATTGGAGTGGGCGGATCGGTGGTTGATCAAAATTAATACTTCGAAAACGCAGACAATCTATTAGACTAAAAAACGTCGTGGTGCCCCCTCAGAGATATCAGTGAATGGAACTCATATACCATGGGAGCAATCTGTCAGGTATCTTGGAGTCATCATTGACAAGGGGTTGACCTGGCAGAAACATACTGATATTTTGGAAACAAAATTCCAAATTACCTTTCAGCAGCTTTATCCTTTGTTGTGCAGAAATTCGAAATTAAGTTTAATCAACACGATTCGGTTGTATAAAATGGTCATAAGACCCGCAATCACCTACGCATGCGCGGCTTGGTGTTTTCTTGCCAAGACGCACATGCAGCGACTGCAAGTCCTGCAAAACAGAACCCTACGCACAGTTACTAACGCGATATCCCATATCTAAGGGATTACGTAAAACAACAGGCGCAGCGGCGTTGTAATCAAGCGGAATCGCACAGCAACCCTCTGTTGCGTGATTCAATAGACTACACAGTCGAGCGAGTTCGCAAACATTCCAGGCCGCGCCTCGCACTGTGATCAACATTAAATTGTAAATTCAGACCAACCAAAATTATTTCAGTATACAAAACCGATCAAAATTATTTTTTGGAGTTACAAAACAATTCGAGTAGTCAAAGCAATAATGCTTAAGCTATTTCAAATGATTTACTTCTTTTCTTTGCTCTTTTTCTTCCTTCCTTTCTTTCTTTCCCTTTTCCCCTTAAACATGTTTGGTATCTGGGTAGCCAGACCTGAGAGACTAACAGACCGACGAGACTTTTAACTAAGAGCAAAGGTCCACCGGACCGCTCTGACGAATAATGACGAATAGTAGGCTTTTTTTGTTTGTAAAGTTTTATATACTGTTCAATGGGGATAATAAGTATTATTATTAATATTTCTTTAAAGAAGTTAACGGTAAAAATGTATGTTTGTTATGTAATACGTCCGCTTCCGTTGCTAAAAAAGGGAATATAGAGAGGCACTATAAAACTGTACATTCAAATTTTGAAAATAAATATTCAGTTTTATGTCGTGTAGCCTTGAAAGCGTTATTTAGTTCAACCTATTTGTGTGAATCCTCTGTTTCAAATATGAAGTTTATTAGAAACAAATACCATAATCGACTTTCAGATGGACATTTGGATAATTGTCTTCGAATGGCGGCATCAAATTATACCAAACATTAAAAAATTGTCAGTGGGTCTGAGTGTCAGGCTTCTCATTGAACACGCATTTTTTTATCTGGAAATGTTTTTGTTCTAGATAGTGCGTTGCTTTTTTTATTTTTAGTTACCTTTATCAAATCGTATGTAACATGCAATTGTAGCTGACGAAAAACTTTGTTTATTTTTCAAACATCTACGATTGGTAGGAAAGGATGTAATTATGTAGTATGTATTAATTATTAGTTTATTTAAGTTTATTAGTATGTGTTAGTGAAAATTTTCAAAATACCCATACGCATTCCCGTTTAATTGGTGCTACAGGTGAATTTTATCAACAGAATTTATTCGATGCTAACTTAACACTATCTGTGTTCAGACCTGTAAGTGTTCAGGAGATCTTAGATAGTTCTGTCTCTATAAAGTCGACTGCAATAGGCTGCGATGGTATTGGTGTGGACATGTTTGGTCTTTGTTTACCTGAAATACTTCAGTATCTAACTCATATTGTTAATATATGTTTGGAAACTGTGCGCTTTCCTAATGTCTTGAAAGAAGCAATAATTCTTCATCTAGCTAAACTAAAAAATCCCATAACTCTTGATCATTTACGACCCGTCACCATACTGTGTTTCTTTTCAAAGATATTAGAAAAAGCTGTTTGTCTCCAGCTAATTGAATATTTAGAGATGAACAGTTTACCTCCTGTCCATCAGTCTGGATTTCGTGCTGGACACAGTACAACTTCTTCACTTCTCCATTTGACAGACAATATCTTAAATAATATGGATGAACATATTAATACAGTTTTAGTTATGGTCGACTTCTCTAAGGCATTCGACACTGTTAACCATCAAATTTTGTTGAGTAAGTTAACGTATATTGGACTTTCTGACATGACGCTTAAATTTTTTGAAAATTACTTAACTAATCGTAAACAAAAGGTGAAGACAGTTAGAGGTGTCTCATCTTCTGTTGCCGTTTCTTCAGTGTCCCTCAGGGCTCTGTCTTAGGCCCTCTACTGTATTTGATATATACTTTTGATTTACATTCATGTATTGAGCATTGTACTATACAAACCTACGCGGATGATACTCAGCTTTGTTTTCATTTTGACCTGTCCCATCTGGATGAAGTGTCATATCAGATAAATTGTGATCTTGCCAACATCACTGATTTTTGTAAAAGACACACGTTGAAGATTAATCCGGATAAGAGTACTTGCATACTTTTTATCCTAAACATTTGCATAATAGAGTAAGGGACAGAATTGCATTGAGCATCAACAACGAGCTCATTCCTATTGTGGAACAAGCAAAAAATCTTGGTGTCATCTTTGTCTCTAGTTTAAGATTTGACAAACATGTGTGTCATCTATCGAAGTCCACCTACATAAAATTAAGACTGCTATATGCTAAAAGATGCATTTTGAACTTTAAAACGCGTAAGAAGCTAGTTGAAAGTTTGATAATGTCCAGCCTCTACTACGCTTTAGCCTTATACTATCCTTGTCTTGACTAGATGAATCGGTGTAGGATCCAATGAATGCAAAGCAACTGCTGTAGGTTTGTGTATGGTCTTGGAAAATATAATGGCTGAAAATGGATCAACAATTTGCATATAGTCTTAAGGTATTTGTGCATAAGATATTCTGTACTAAAAAGCTCATCTACCTCCATAGTAAATTGGTAACTAGAGGAATCATTAATCTTAGAGATCTGAGGCATAATAATAATCTGACAATGCCTTTGCACTACACCGCATTGTTTCAAAAATGTTTCACTTTCAATCCTGTGAGGTTATACAAATCAACCGACCCTGCCTGGAGAAGCAAAAGTGTAGTAACATTCAGGAAGCTGGTTAAAAATCAGCTGTTAGATGTATCGTAATTAGTTGTTATTATCTTTATGTTTTTTTTTGTGTTGTCATCCGTTCAGTGTTGTTTCTTGACTGTTTCCTTTTTGGTAAACCAATATAGCGCGGATTTATCAATTGATTGTATTTTTTCCCTTTATTATTAGTTCACTTAGTTGAAAGCCAGGTCGATGTATTTATTTTTAGGTTGCATGTATGTGAATTGTATATATATATATATATATAAATATATAACTTCGCCCTATTGTTGCGTTGCTAATAAAGAGATTTATTATTAACATTATTATTAAATAAACACATGTATGTCGCATACAACTGTGTATAATTTCATTTAAGTTGGCTTACATTGCTTACGACTAGGTAGCTCGCTGTTTATTCCAAAATTAGCAAAGTAGCTCAACACACTGAAAAGGTTGGCGACCACTGCTCTAAACCCTACAGCTTTTGCTTGAAACTTTCTTCCCTAGAATGCGTAGTTTTCATCAACGACGTCTTCTGCACGATGAATACGATCCGTTGCTTTGCAGATGACAGCACTTCGCGTGCAGACTGGTAAGCCGAGAACCATCTCTCGTTCATTCGTAGGGTACTGGAAGAAGCTTTCTCTCCACCTTACTAACTTCAAGTAGCTCAGAAACCTGGTCAGCAATGCGTTTTAGGTACATGCATATTTAGGTTCTGCCTTCACTACTGCTTCAGTGTAAAAACAGCGCATGGTTGCTTATCAGAGCATCAGACTCTTCAGAGAAGGAGCAAATTCAGGCACGCCACTGGTTGCGAATCCAGTGAATCACATACCAAATTTAGTTAAGATGTAAACGGTACCCATATCTTCCCCACTTTCTTCTTTTCAGAAGCTGCATTTTCTGACTTATACACCTGTGAGAATCGTTTTCCTTTATTCAAACTAACCTAAAAATTTATTTCCTGCACCACCCATATCACGAACAATTTCTAGTTGAAATCCCACCACCCTGTTTTGAGTAAAAAATTGGAAATCATACATCTGGAGCATTACGATGTCAATGAAATCCCAAAGTGGGGTTAAGTTTTACCTACATATCTAGAGACAATCTATAAACATCCAACTCATGGACAGAGTTCTATTCTTAGTTTTATACATAATAATATCTTATATTGCGAGGAACGCTCAGTTCTCCTTTAACCTCAAGTAAATGTGTTACAAAAGTGCCATGGTTTCTCTAGAACGAAGTTCGTGGTTTATTTTTTGAATAGTCTACAGGTGAGAGGCTTTAAGCTTTTTGCTTTTCGAAGCACAAAAATAGAATGTGCGCACAGATTCAGTGAAACTTTACTATGTTCCTGTGTACATTTGTGCACTCTGTTTGACAGAACGTCAGGCATTTAAATGAAATTCTAAATGATTCTTTAAGACTTCTTCGTATTTTCAATGTTGTAATCAAGCAACGGAGTATTAATATCGGCTGTATGTAGCATGTGGAATAATTATATTTACCTACTGAGATTTTTAGGGATCTTGACATTTGTTAGTTATTTTTAACTCCAATGATTAAACTGCTCAACTAATAGTTTCTTTGAACTTGCGAATATACGATAAAGTGACATGTAGTCACATGCTTTGCAATACTAGTAGCAGGTTAAGGTAACAGACAACATGCATAATTGCTTATTTTCAGAGCTTTCAGCTTCAGCACTATTCAGTTTAAGTTGATACTAATACTGACTTATCAAGCTTATTTTGCTCGATCTTAATAAAACCACTGTTAAGCTTATAAATTGACTGAAACTGACAATTTCATCTATTTTGTTTTTCCCTTCACGAAAAAAGATTTAAGTCGCTCGAATGTTAGTATAGTCCATTGTGTGGAAATGGCTGGTTCCAATTATTGTTTAGCAATTCCATAATCTTGGTTTATAGTTGCTCCAAAATAAAAAAAAGAAGAAACTACAAGATTCTTACAACTGCGTGAACTCTGCCTTACACAAAATGTCTGAAAATTCTACGAAAATATATACATATCAAAAAAACATTTAATGAGACTCCAAAAAGTTGAAAACGCTGACCAATTGTTTCTCCGATATCGAACCTATTACCAATAAATTAAAGTCTAAAAAGCTTAAAAACACGCCTTATTATAAGGATTTTGAAATTATTTTCAAGCTCAGGAGAGTGTTTGTTACTGGAATAGGGATTCCAACAATCAAGTATGACTAATTAATTTGGAATAAGATCAAAATACAAATTAAAAAATCCACAAGGCATTCAATTATAGTAAAAAAGGGTGAGATATTAAAGATATTAAATGTTAGAATTATTTTTTTAGTTGCTATTCACTAAATTGGAGTTACTGTGAGAATATAGTCAATTGCAACCCACGCTTTTTTACTATAGTTGTTTTTTTTTTGTTAATATCTTGTTCCATAATAGTTAGTCATAATAATAGTAATAATATTTATTCGCTCAATGTACAAAGAGAACAAACAACATGAAAAAATAAATAAATACAAAATCAAAACAGGCCCAATAGAAGGCATTGCCTGTACATGGACCAATAATTCTTAGAATGCAAATGACAAAAAAGGATAAAAATCAGCTACAGTAGATTATGTATTTACTTGATGTTCGTATTTATGAGTTTATGAATTTCAGTCCTAGATATAGAATGTAGCCACTTTTTTAAATTTCTTTTGAAACAATTTCCGAAACGTAAATCTTTTAAGACTTTAGGTATAATTTCATAAAATGTTGGCGCAAAATAGAGATATGACCGCTGCGTTATAGATTTATGCGGCTGAGGAACTATTGTGGCACGATTATTGTACCTTGTGTAATGAATATGTTTAATTTTTTGGTCGGTGTTTACAAATTTATGGTAGTGAGTGATACTGTGTAAGAAATAAAGCTGTCTTATATCATACATTCGAACATCTGCGTATAATTTGTCAGTGGGATAAAGTTTCAGTTTTTTAAACATCATTTTTAGAATACTTTTTTGAAAAACATTTAAATTATAGATATGTGAGGAACATGCAGCTCCCCATGCTAATATACCATATGTGAGATGAGGCTCAATCAGTGCATGGTATAATATACGAAGATATTTTTCTGTCTATATATGTATATTCCCAAGGTATTTAATTTTGTAGGATATAAATATAACTTTATTTAAAATATAATTGACATGGATGTTCCAACGTAAGTGAGGATCCAAGACCACTCCAAGGTATTTTATGTTGGGCACTCTATTAATTTGCATTTTTTGATCATTAATGTTGAAAGAGAAATTTGTGTAATTTGGCAGATGACTAGCATAAGAAAAAAATGGTAAAAAAAATGTGTTTTAGGACAGCTAATGCTTATTTTTCTACTTTTAAACCAGCGAATAATTTTGATAAAATCATTTTCAATTATATTTTTTAGGTCAGACCAGTCAGTACCTTCATTGCAGTATCATCTGCAAAACTGGTTATTTTGCCAACACAATTAATTTGGAAAATATCATTTAAACATATATTGAATAACAGTATACCTAAGACAGTTCCTTGTGGGACACCACACTTAATATAGATTTCTTTACTAAACGATCCTGATGTCTGTACAGATTGTGGGCGATTTGACAGATAATTTTCGATCAGTCAGTACGCGTTTCCTCTGAAAACCAATTCTCTCCAATGCTTCTAATAATAATTTGTGATTAACTGTGTCGAAAGCTTTCTTTAAATTAACAAAAATGCAGATTGGAGGGATTTTGTTATCAATATTTTGATGTATTTGATTTACAATTTTAGCTACTGCGTCCTTCCCTTCTGTAAGTCCATATTGATTTTCACTTAAAATTTTGAATTTTGTGAGATGCCGAATCATTCTAGTAGATAAAACTTTTTCAAATACTTCTGCTACACTGGATATTATTGATATTGGTCTATAATTGTTAACATCTGTTTTTTATGTATCGGTATTATATATTATATAACCTTTTTAAAATTGAGGGATATATGCCAGATTCAAAGCATTTGTTGATTAGGTAAGTGGGTGGTTCTGTTATGTCCTCGGCTATAATTTTCAAATGCTCGGTTTTAATACCGTCGAACCCAGGACTATTCCGATTTTTTTAAGGACATAACTGTGGTGAATACTTCACATTGCTCGGCTCTATCCAAAATACATGAATTTAAAGACTTTTTGGAAGCTGAGTATTGGGCACATTTGCTTGTTTATTACTTGCTAAATTTTCGCCTGTCAGTAAAAAATTGTACAAATTCATCGCATATTTGTTGAGTATTTTTTAATACTGTTCCCGATGTCGTATTTAATTCAGTGACACACTTTTTAAATTTTGTTTTCCCAGTAATCTCATCAATAGTTGTCCAAAGCCGCTTAAGATCAATTAATTTGGGTAATGTTTTCGTTTGGTTTGCCTTGAAGGCTCTATAAATTTATTTTTATATTGGTTGTAGCAGTCGATATTTTCTGTAGTTGTCGTTAGTTTCATTACATTATAAAGTCTTTCTTCTTCCATTACCGATGTTATTAATCCTTTGGTAATCCAGACATTTCTGCTTTTCTCGTTGTGACTGTTGGACATTCTATTTCAGTAACATAAACTCACCTATACTATTATTTTCTACTGTAGTTCGATTAGCTATTAAAGCGTGTTTTTTAAACTATAATCTAGTTTCTGAATTTTCTCCTAAACGGACAACAAAATTACTTTATGCGCGTCGATTTTTGGTATATTTTATAGATAGATAGATAGATAGATAGATAGTCTTTATTGTCTTTTGGTCATAAATAGCTATGACATCAGACTTGTTATTTAAAGGTGCTTCCATTTTTCAAATTTTTCAAATCTCGAAATTATTTTCCAAATTTTCGAATCTAACTTTTTAAAAATTCCAAGCCTCAAACTTGATTTCTTTCCAAAATTATTATAGTGTCATCGGCCCTTGACCCCTGTGTAAGTTTTCACTTTATTCGGTCTTCTTGAAAATGGTGAAAATCAGCGTTCTATATATAGAGAGAGATAGAGAGATAGAGAAAATAATCATGCGGAGAAATGTATATAGCAAAAAATAGGAAAATAATGGGCAAAATCCGCAAAAAGAAGTAAAGTGGATTCGAGCAGAAAATAGGATAGGTAACCCGAGCGATACGTATTTCTGCTGGTTGGCTTCATCAGGCCCGAAATGAATGCACATATGCAACTACAAAATTAGATACACATGCTCATACATCCGGATACGGGTGTAACCTGAGGAAACAAAGATGGAGAGGGAAAAAAATCATATACGCAGTCCACAACAAAAGCCGGATTTTGTCCATTATTTTCCTATTTTTTGTTATATACGTTTCGCCGCATGATTATTTTCCCTTTGTAGATCCTTTGGGCTTGAAGTACCACAGCAAGTGGCTATAACCGGCCGCGTGGTTGTAGTTAGATGTCGCCTTGAAAATTCGAGGTCATCTAGCCATTTTATACTACAATGTGCAGGTTGGCTCTTGTTGTGGACTTCGTGTGTGATTTCTTTCCCTCTCCATCTTTGTTTCCTTAGGTTACACCCGTATCCGGATATATGAGCATGTGTATCTACTTTTGTAGTTGCATATGTGCATTCATTTCGGGCCTGATGAAGCCAACCAGCAGAAATACGTATCGCTCGGGTTACCTATCCTATTTTCTGCTCGAAACCACTTTCTTTCTTTTTGCGGATTTTGCCCATTATTTTCCTATTTTTTTTTTATATACATTCCTCCTCTTTGTCCATTTTTCCTATTTTTGTTGTATACATATATATATATATATATATATATATATAACCTTTCTCCAAAAGTCTGACAAAAAATTCTCGAGACAAACCATTCATGTAAAATTAAAGAAGTTATTTAAAAATGCAAAAGGTATTTCAAAAAGTCAATGGCGAAGAAATATTAGCGAGTTGGTTTCTCTTAATCTCCCATGAAACGCTGAAAAGCCAAGCCGCCTAGAACTCCAATTTTTTCCTGGTTACCTACATTGTTTTGAAATTTTCTGTCGATACGACGAATCTTTCTTATTGTTCAGACATCCCTAGTATATTTGATAAGATATACAAGCAACAATGGAATTACTCAATTACTCATATCTACTCGCTACATGTGTTATTCATCGAATGTTATTGCACAAAATCATGAACCAGTCACTAGACTGCAATTTAAAATATTTGGTAAATCAGCCATGTGAGTAAGCATGAAGTAGCAAATCAACGCAGTTTTTATCTTAGCTTTGTTATCGCACAAATACCTTTGCTGTAGGGGAAATGGAATTCCACTTATAAAAATCATGCTAACTCAAGGCCGGACTAGTGAAATTCTCAAAAATGATGAGAGTTTAATTTTTATATTATAGGGAATACATGCTAAACTTCTTAATCCTCAAGAGCTGCCCGAAATAACTAAAGTAAAAAAAAAAACGGGAAACACCTACGTACGTTTATCCGATTTTTATATTTTTTGGCATATATGTTCAGTGTCCCTTACTAGTAAAATGATTGACTGCAGAAGCTGGTTCAATAATGATTTGAGGATTCACGATTTCTTATACACTCATTGACACGCCTCGGCATCGTGCTGATAAGGTGGTCGATATCCCGTTGGGATATCTCATTCCAGGCTACTGCAACTTCGTGAGTAAGGCCCGTATCGTCAGTCGTCCCTACAATTGTAGGGCGCGTTTATGGCCTCCTTGATTGTCATACTCCTTTCTCCCCTTCAAAAATTTCTAGATTACACTTGTCCCGTGTCAGCGTCAGCGCTCCCTATTGTGAAGATATGTTTTCCTGTTAAATTGTAGGAAATTTCAGGCTGATAAAACATGATATAACTCAAAAGCAAGCACAATTTGATGCAAATAGATGTTTGTAACATAACCTCAAAATAGAGCACTGACATGAAAAATAGAAAACTATGACAATCAACGAAGCCATAAAGGCGCCCTACAATTGTAGGGCGCGTTTATGGCCTCCTTGATTGTCATACTCCTTTCTCTCCTTAAAAAATTTCTAGATTACACTTGTCCCGTGTCAGCGTCAACGCTCTCCTATTGTGAAGATATGTTTTCTTTTTAAATTGTAGGAAATTTCAGGCTGATAAAACATGATATAACTCAAAAGTGAGCACAATTTGATGCAAATAGATGTTTGCGACATAACCTCAAAATAGAGTTCTGACACGGAGAAGTAGAAAACCATCACAATCAAGGAGGCCATAAAGGCGCCCTACAATTGTAGGGACGACTGACGATACGGGCCTAAGAGCTGCTAAAGTCTGTGGAGGGTATTGCAAATTCGACAGCCTGTGACCTATTATGATCAAGATATGTACAATTGGAGATAGGTCAGGCGATCGTGGTGACCAAGGTAAACGGTTGATGCAATGTCGATCCATGATTCTCTGGCAACATGCGGTCTGCCAGGTTTTGGATCGTGTTTAGGTATGGAATAAGATGAGGCACCACTACTGCCTGAATATAACGTCGGGCTGTAATATTGCCTTTGATGCAAATTAGTGGTGATCTGCTACCATAACCAATAGCACCACAAACCATAACTTCCACGGTGTAGTGAACGTGATGCTCTCTGTCAAATTGTGGGTCACAAAAAAGGCTTCTCAATAAGCTACACGAAATATAACATTTAACTGACACCGTAAATGTACGAAAACTGAATGGTTCTTTATCACCAAACAATACACGCAGCCACCACAAAAACTTTACAGAGAAACCTGACCATTTTATCACATGGCGAAATAAATAGATATGTAAAAAATTTTTGGATTCCAATAAACATACGTAGGTGTTTAACTTTTTTTAGCAATCAGTATATTTCAGTTAAACGGCAAACAATTAGGGAATTTCAAGCTCTGGTACGAAATAACAGTGCATAGAATGGAGTGGTGTACGTCCCTGCTCAGATTACCCATTATCCGCCCAGTTTTAGAGTCAATCTATATCAATGTTTTAATGTTATTCTTGACTTTCTTGAAATCCCATTTTTATGTGATTGTTGGTCGCAATCTTGCGATTGTATCGACTATACGGGGTCGGTGACGCTATTATTAGTTTTTTAGGACTAGTTCGAAAAATTTGCAATTATGTCTGCATACTTGAGAAGCAGACTTTCTAATCGCACATTGTCCATTTTGGACTTTTTACAGGAAAGGGGAAAACTGCTGTAGCTTATTGCTAACATTTGAAAAACGAGTAACACGTGACAAAACGTATTTTATTATCAACAGTTTGTTATAGTAACAAGTCTCAGCAAATATTAATAGCTTACTAAAGAAACTAAAAAAAATTAATGGACAAAGGGCTCTTTGAATGTCCACAATGGACAAAAGCCAGTCCGTTTGTCCATAATTGAAAGATGATTTCAAACTTAAAATTCTAAAGCAAACAGTTCTATTCCAATTATATTACATGTAAGTCGTCTTCCGCCTGGCAGCAACGTTCTTCGTCATCTTCACCGTGGGCACAGCTCTGCTCTTTTCTTCCGTTGTCACCGTGTTCCCTGAAATTGGGTCAAGCCAGGTTAGCTATGGGTCTCTTACCCAATCTTGGCCTGATAAACTTACTAAAAATGTAGATAAACTTTTTTTGAGGGATCATCATTTCTTATACAAGATTTTACCTTCACCACTATTAGATTGTCTTTTTATAATTATTCTTTTGGCCTCGGAAGTTCCTGCAATTTTTTTAAGTGAACCTTTCCTACCGTTTGAGGTAACATTCATTTTTCTCCTCCTGTCAACTCGATCAACATCGCCAACCACATGCTCTCCATCACTCATGTTGTACTGACTTTTTCACAGAATAGGTGATATTTTTTGCGCTATCACTACTTAACAGCACTCTCATTTGACAGCTAATACCGTTGTACTGCATCATTGACAGACTTATTCGAAAAATATTGATACCATGGATTTAAAATTTTGTATCCATATTACTTTGAAGTATGTATATGACATGATACCCTTAACTTTTGTCTATTTTTTGCCTAATAATGTTCTTATACACTAAAATGTATTGTACGAAAGAAAAAGGTTAAACAGAAATTTAGAGGTTCAAGTGATACATCGTTCAACGTAACGTAATGTAAATTCGAGGTAGTATGGAAATGAAAAACAGAAACTTGATCAAAATAATTGGAACTTTTGCCTTATGATGCGGTGTTGCCACTTGCACTATTTTTTTCTTATCTGCGAAATACGCATTTTGTTGCAAATGTGTACGGAATCCAGGTCAAATCCGACCCAGGACTGTGTTGCGCAGTTGCCAGTTGCTTTATATTTCCCTTATACAGTGAAAACCATATACCACTGACGTCGTAATGTGTACGAGAGGGAGAGAGTTTTTGAGTTTCTGGTTACTTTAGGGCGTAGTGAAAAATATTTTTTAGGAGTTCACAGCTTTTAAAAAACACCTAGGATGGAACAGCTTTGTGGACTTTGACAACCGGTTCATTATCGGCATGAGCAAAAAAAAACTAAAATTATCAAATTGCCATCAAACTTCGTCTTTCAATGTTATCCACGTTTCTGGTCACTTTAGGGCATAGTAAAAAAGTTTAGAGGATAGAACAGCTTTGTGGATTTTGACAATCGGTCCAGTGGTGGCGGAGCTGAGAGCAAAAAATCTAAAATTGTTAAATCGCCCTCAAACTTCGTTTCTCGATGTTTTTGGGTTTCTGGTCACTTTGGGGCGCAGTTAAAAAAAGTTGAGTAGCTCAAAGCTCTTAAAAAATTCCAGGGATGGAACGGCTTTGTAGATTTTGACAATCGGTCCAGTGGTGCCGGAGTCGTGAACAAAAAATCTAAAATTGTTAAATCGCCCTCAAACTTCGTTTTTCGAGTTTCTGGTCACTTTAGGGCATAGAAAAACTACTTTTAATGAGTTCACAGCTCTTAAAAAATGTCAAGGATGGAACAACTTTGTGGATTCTGACAATCGGTTCATTGGCGGCTGAGTCGTGAGCATAAAAACCTGAAATTATCAAATCGTCCACAAACTTCGTTTTTCGACGTTTTCTGAGTTTCTGGGCATTTTAGGGCATAGTAAAAACAACATTTTTGAGGAGTACAGAGTTTTTAAAAAATGTTGAGGATGGAACAGGTTTGTGGATTTTGAAAATCGGATCAGTGGCGGCGGAGTCGTGAGCAAAAAAAAGAAAATTGTCAAATTGCCCCAAATTTCGTTTTTAGATTATTTCCGAGTTTCTGGTCACTTTAGGGCATAGTAAAAAATTGTTTTGAGGATTTCAAAGTTTTTGAAGAATCCCAAGGATTGAACGGCTTTGTGGATTTTGATAATCGGTTCAGTGCCGGCGGAGTCGTGAGCAAAAAATCTAAAATTGTTAAATTGCCCTCAAACTTCGATTTTCGATGTTTTTGAGTTTCTGGTCACTTTAGGGCGTAGTAAAAAGTATTTTTAAGGCGTTCAAAGTTCTTAAAAAATGATAAGCATGGAACAACCTTGTGGATTCTGACAATCGGTCCAGCGGTGGCGAAGTCGTGAGCAAACAATCTAAAATTGTTAAATTGCCCTCGAACTTCGTTTTTCGATGTTTTCTCAGACTCTGGTTACTTTGGGGCGTAGTAAAAAATATGTTTGAGGAGTTCAGAGTTTTTGGAAAATTTCAAGGATGGAACAGCTTTGTGGATTTTGAAACTCGGTCCATCGGTCCAGTGGCGGCGGAGTCGTGAACAAAGAACTAAAATTGTCAAATCGCCCTCAAACTTCGTTTTTCGACTATTTCCGAGTCTCTGGCCACTTTAGGGCGTAGTCAAACAAATCTGGAGCGGTTCAAAGTTTTTAAAGAATCTTGGATTTAGTGTTTAGACGTTTTTAGAGCTTTCAGATTATTTTAGGGCGATTTAAAAAAAAATCACGGGATACAAAATTTTCGTGCATCTAGAACCTGATATAGGCCTATTTTGATGGCTGCATTTTGTTGTTGTTAGTGTGAATCGCGATGTATGGAACCCAGGCGCAGGCCGACCCTGGGCGCGTCAGCGTCGGCGTCAATAGTACCGGCGGCGTCAGCGGCACCGGCAACGGACCGGTCTACGTCTCGGAACCCGCTGATGTCACGCCGGCACCATCTACAACAACCAGTTGTGATTTCGATGAGGACGACGAAATGGTGACGACCGAGCGCGAACTGGCCGAGGACGCGCAGTGGAAGAAAATACAACAGAACACATTCACCAGGTACTTCATTTTTCTTCTTTTTAATCCATTTTTGCTCCATCCGAAACCGCATGCCGGTCGCGCTGCAACCAGACAAAACGAACACAGCTATAAACAGCTTAAGAAGGAATGCTGCGTGCTTGTCCCTTTTGCCAAATTTTTCACCTGTGAATGACATTTTCTCATTTATTAATTACAAATCAGTAGAGCCATGACGTCATAGACATTTGTTGTCTTAAAAACAGAGTACGCAAAATAATCACACATCAAAGAGGAATGGATCAATGCGTTTCTCCTATTTTTCAAAATTCTCCACCTGCGAATAAGATTTAGAAATAAAATAAACATCGCTATAAACCCTACATTTATTCATTTTTTTTATTCTTGGGACACTATCAATATACTTATCCATGATGTCATTCATTCTTCTTGCTCCAAGCAAACATGAACTATGGACTATTTTTTACTCATTCTTTTTTATCATTATTTACTATCCTGCATCTAGCAAAATACGGGTATACAAACACTATAAAAATGTAAACAAAATATTTTTGGATTTAAATTAATAGTTCTTTATTCTTTCTTTTGTTGACACCTGTTGCTTTAAATGCTAAATGAAGATAAAATATAAACATCAGCTAAAATTCTTAACTCATATAATTTTTAATAGTGATAGATGTAGTGTAAAGATCGAGACAGCCATAAATAAACGCACAGGTGGAGGTAGTACAGATAAAAGAGGTAAAATGGAACACATAGAATAAATAACATAATTAAGATGGAAAAGGTACAAAAGATACAATAAACATTGACAGAAATAGATATAAATATACAAAAAATAAAGATAGAGGCAGGAACGAGGATAAATGAAGGGGTAGAACATTCAGTTTCTCATTTTTGCTCTTTGTTTTTGGTTTCAGATGGGCAAACGAACACCTAAAAACTGTTTCCAGGCATATCGGCAACCTGGAAACAGACCTCAGCGATGGACTGCAGCTGATAACACTCATAGAGGTGCTTTCTGGTAAAAGACTACCAAAACACAACAAGAAACCGTCATTTCGGTCCCAAAAACTTGAAAACGTTTCCGTAGCCTTAAAATTTCTTCAAGACGACGAAGGCATTAGAATCGTTAACATTGGTAAGTCTTGGATAACCTCTTGCTACAGGTCTCTATTGACACTATTTTATATCAAGTATAAATGATTCATTTGTTGTAATTATTATAATCGTTGATCCGCTCTCTACACCGCATGTGGTTAGTCTGGATTGAGGATGAAACCAAAAAAATGTGACAAGGTTCTATAAGAAATGTCACGCCTTACATTGAGATAGGCCTCTGAATAACGCTACTGGAAAAATAGTTTTTTCCCGAATATCTTGTGAACGAGACTGTATAATTTAACGAATTATTGTATTGATCGACTACTAATTTTGCCTGCTACTTAAATGACAGAGGTACCTTAAGGCACGAAAAATAATTCATGAATAAAACAAATGAAGAAAGCGCCATATACTAATACACACCTTGCTAACGGAAATGGTACCAAAATAGCGATGTCATCTGTAAACACTAATTCATATATGAATTCATATCAATACTTTAAACCATTTTGTCTGGCGTCTACAATCGTTCAAGGTAATCCATTATGTATGCCGAAATAGGTAGATAACTCTTTGTATAAAATTAGACGGCACTGCGGTGTTCGCGGTACCACTACCGAATAAATGTTGATTATTAGTTATATTTCTATCATTTACAAGAAGCGTTGGGTACATTTAAATATACAAAATATGAGAATCTCATTTGATCAGGGGACTAGAGTAGAGATAAGCAATTGTTTTTTTTTCTTCCAACTTCTTTATTCCCATCCCCCCTCAGTCTACATTTTGATCAAGCGATTCAAACTACATGCTTTGCAAGTATTGCAATCTCTGTAGCATTTCTTTTCAAATTTCAATAAACGTTTAGGAAGAATCCTAGTACGACTCTGGAATCAGATACTGTAACGTTAGTGATAAAGTATTATGATGAACTGGTGAAGCACACTTATTTTTAAAGGTTGTTAACATTTTGATAACAATGTTGTGCTACCTGATAAGCTGGATTTGGTTGAAACTTGAATTATGACGATCTTTATGTTTTGAATGGAGTTTCCTATGACAACATACATATCACAGCGTACCCCATTAACTATAGACTTGAACAAATAATCAAGTTGCTTAATTCAGTATATTGTACATAGAGAATTATCCAAAAAATGTTATTATTATTTTGGTCTCCCCAAGAACCAATTTTCAACTACGCCCGAAAATGATACAAAACATATAAAAACGAAGTTTCAAACCTTCTTTTTGTTTTTATACCATGATTTTCAGAACCTACACTAGAACGCTTTTCCGTCCTTATTTAAAAACTATATTCTCCATGCTCGATGCTGTTCAGAAGAGAGCTGTCTGACTGATCGACGTCTCTTGTCTAACGGACAGTCCCGGGACCCTTTCCCACCGACGGGTCATCTGCGATCTACCTCTCTTCTACCGCTATGTTAACGGTCTTTGTTCCTCAGTGCCTGTCAGACTTCGGTTTTCCGTCCCAGCCGTGTGGAACTTCGTACATCCAGAACTAGCCGATACAACCGCTCCTTTATCCTTAGAGTATCGATATTGTGAAACAGTTTACCTAAGGAGGCTTTTCCCAGTTGTACTAACCTTGGACACTTCAAAAATCGGACTAACAAAGTTTATTTAAGCTCACCATACCAGAGGTGATGCCTAGTATTTAGGCTTCTGCCTACGCTGCTGGATCGGTATAAAAACGTAAACTTACGACCGTCTATGCGCTACCTCTTAACATTTTCAAGTGAATTGGCATTCATGTAAATAGGTATTCATTATATCTCAGTACTAAATGAGGGAAAATCTTCTTGGACATACGCCAACAGCATTTTTCCGATAGTCGGTTTATACTTACCATGCACCTTTGTGATGTATTTTAAGTAATACGTTACATTTCATTAGGTTATTACATCCTGAAGAAGCTGAATTAACAGAGGTGTTAGATGGATCTAAAAGTGTACTGGCAATAAACGTTGCTGGAATGAATTATTCTGAGGCGAATCATACCTTTAAAATTCGCAATATCGCACATTAGATTACGTCTTTAGTAATATTCGCAAACTAAAAACATGACTCACTCATTAGCTGTATGTATTATGGGACCAACCGATTACTTTTATTTCCACGTTTCTAATCTCGATTTTTAGAAGTGACTCAACTATCAAGAAAATCGAGAGTGAAAGCATCAAAATAATAAATTGAAGTATTGATATCGTGAGAAGTATTGCAATGATAAGACGTTCGGTTACCTTAAAGTATACATCTCTGATTATACAGTGCTTTTCAGACAGGCCCCCCTATTTATTTTTTGAACTGGACTTCCATTCTATAGCCTCCCAGAAATTGACGGGTTCTCCTCTTCATCCCACAACGTCAACGCGGGTGTTCCACAGGGATCGGTCTTGGCTCTGACACTGTTCCTCTTATATATCAACGACCTCCTTTCCTGAACGATCAACCCAATCCACAGTTTCGCTTACGACAGCACTCTACATGCAGGAACTCAGAGAGACAAGCCGATCTGCCGCTGAGCTGGGAAAAAAGACTAGTTACGAGGGACTTGGAGGCTATCACTGCTTGGGGACGATACAATCTTGTACAGTTTAATGTTTCCAAAACACACTACTATACCTTGACAAACAATCATCCGGTTTCGATGAATGGCCGAGTTCTGCCAAAGAGCCATTCATTTCGGATGGTCGGAGTCCAGATCACCGAGAACCTGATCTGGCACGAACACATCCACGTCAATAGCGGCAGTTGCTGGGAAAAAGCTACGCTATTTATACAGGGTGACTTTGAAGTTGAGTCATTAATTTTAACAGTGAGTAGATCTGATCAAAAGAAATGTTTTTTTCCTTTACCATTTTTCTGGTAAAATTAAAGTAACAAAGTTATAGCCCTTTGGAAGTTTGAGTACCGCCCTGTCTCAATAATAATATCATGTACTCGTGTTTGGCAACAACGGATATAATCCGCCTTACCGGTTCATCGCATCGGAAACAAAAAAGCGAAAGAATTTGGAACGACGTTTTTGCAATTAAGTATTTTATTCAGTTCAGTTATACATACAGTCGGTTAGCGTGTGAATAGTGTCTGTTGCGTGGCTCAAACGAAATAAAAAATGGCACATGTTTATGCGGATCGGTTTCCCAATCGAGTGCAACCAACCCCTCGTGCCTTTGTTAATGTAGTACAACGGGCTCGTGAATCAGGTGACTTGAAGACCTCACAGGGGACCTCACGATCAAATACAGGTCCGCACTGAAATACTTGTCGGGAGGATACTTTATAAAACAAGGTAAAAATTATTTTTTAATTTTTTTTTATTTTTACACACATATTCTGGTTTATCTTCCTTCTACAATCATTATCTGAAAATTAATGACTCAACTTCAAAGTCACCCTGTATATATAAAGATTTGAAATTATCGAAATATACTAAGTGACATATAAATCCGAACACCCAGTTTAAATTTTTTTATTTTAATAAAAGTTGGTGAATGTATTTATCTTACTGTAAATAACAAGTGAAAAAATTGTCAGCCTTATCAGCTGGACATTCCGGTTTTTATACTGCTTTTTTTAATTCACTAACGCTCTAAAAATGAATATTTCAGCCGCAGTAAAGGATCAACGTTGGCGGATTTTGGTTCTTGACATCCTTTACGATCGGTTACGATGCCTAGAGTACGGAGACCTGTACGATTTCGTCAACTTAGTGAGTTTGATAGGGGCCGTATAGTGGGACTTCGGGAAGCTGGACTTTCTTTTCGGGCAATTGCAGTTAGAGTGCAAAGAAGTATAGACACTGTGGTTAGGTGTTGTCGGGCATGGCTTCGAGAAGGCCGTACGCAAAGAGCAAGGGGCACTGGACGCCGCCGTAGAACAACAGACCGTGAAGATCGCCGCCTAAGATTATTGGCCTTAAGAGTTTCTCTACTACCAGGTCCATTGCAAATGAATGGTTTGCAGAACACGGAAGACCTATTGGCATGCGAAGTGTTTACCGACGAATGAGAAGTTTTGACTTGTTTTCATACCGGCCACACTGGGTCCTCCCTTTAACTCGAGAACACCGACGTAATCGCCTTGAATGGTGCAGACAACGGTCACTCTGAGATCAGGAATGGAACAGTATTGTCTTTAGTGACGAGTCTCGATTTTGTTTAGGCATGCACGATGGTCGTGCCAGGGTTAGAAGGCGACGTGGTGAAAGGAGGAATCCACAGTTTTTTGTTGAAAGATGTACATCATACTGTTGGAGTTATGGTTTGGGGTGCTATAGCTTATGGTTCCAGGTCACCTGTAATCTTCATCAGAGGTAACATGAACGCGCAGCGTTATATCCACGAAGTTCTAGAACCCCATCTTTTACCATATCTTGACACCCTGGCAGATCCAACTTTCCAACAAGATAATGCCCGACCACATGTTGCAAGAGTCACAATAGACTTCTTTCAACATAATGATGTCACATTGTTACCATGACCACCAAGATCTCCCGACTTATCCCCAATTGAGCACGTGTGGGATATGATGGGTAGGAGATTGCTCAATTTGCAACGTCCTCCTCAGACTCTAGAAGCACTTCGAGAGGAGTTGGTGGTTGCCTGGAATGAGGACATTGACCACCTGATCAGAAGCATGCCTAGGCGCGTTGGAGAATGCGTAGCACATCAGGGTGCATCCACACATTATTAAAGGTCAAGGGGCTTTAAAGCAGTGCAATCATTTTGAAATTTTTATCATTTACTTATTATGCTTCATTAAGTACTTATACAAAATTTTATTAAAATAAAACCATTTAAACTGGGTGTTCGGATTCATATGTCACTTAGTATATTTTGGGCTAAGAAGTACTTGTCTCCGCATGACCTTCTCACTCTATACAAGGCCCAGATAAGGCCTAGCCTCGAGTATTGCTCACGCGTTTGGGATGCTGACGCCCCGACTACATCATTTATGCTCGATGCTGTCCAGAGGAGGGCTGATCGATGACTCTTCTCTAACAGACAGCCTCGGGACCCTTTCGCACCGGCGGGCCGTCGGCGATCTAGCTCTCTTCTACCGCTACACCAACGGTCTTTGCTCCTCAGAGCCCTCTTCCATGATCCCGCCGCGCGATGTGCCTGCCAGACAGACCCGCCTGACTTTGACCTCCCATCCTGACCGTGTTGAACTTCGTACATGCAGAACTGCCGATTCGCCCGCTCCTTTGTACCGAGGGTGTCGAGATTGTGGAACAATCTACAAGAGGAAGCTTTTCCCAGTTCTACTAAGCTTAGGCAGTTCAAAAATCGGATTAGCAAAGTTTCTGTGGGATCATCATAGTAGCCGCGGTGTTCCGACATTTAGACTTCTGCCTGCGCGGCTACTTCGGTATAAAAAAATCTCCTTCCTTTTAGATGTTTAAAGGTGGCACCCAGCCGCATTAAAACTTTCAGCTGTTTTTCTTACGTGAATAGAATAGTTTTTATGCGTCATTCCATCATCCCAAATTTCTGCTTGCAATCTTGGCCTGAAAAATAAGTAGAGAAGGCTTCTGAAAAGCACTATATATGCAAATTATAACGTTAAATTATACATCGCTGATGCTTTTCAGAAAGATCCCCCTATTTATTTTTTGAACGGGTAAGGTAGCAGGCTCAAGTTGGCAGCACTTGACGCGTGAATATTATATTTTAGAGTAAAAATAACAGTTGAAAATTTCAATATGGCGGCTGAGCGCCATTTTGGAAAAAAGTATGGAGAGACGAGTGATACCTCATTATTTAAGGCTCTTTATAATCCTAGAATAAAAAATGACCATCTTTGAAAGCGCCATAGTATCTGACATCTTCTCTTGCAAAGGGCTATCCGAGTATGCAATAAAATATGAAGCACTCCATTTTGAAAAATTACAAAACATGTCAAAAGTTTTTAAGCTGTCCGTCTCATATTTTATTTCACATCCTTGGCCTTCTGAAAAGCACTATATATGCAAATCTTTGTTAGCAGTAAAGTTATGGTTAATATAAGCTGTAGGTACAGATTTTCATAAAAAAAATTTATTTAAAAAAATACCTTTGGGCTTTTAGCAGCTGGTTCAGATTACAACTTATGTAACATTTTTTTGCCCTTCAGATAACTGACAATATTATCTACGTTGCAGCTTGGGCCTAAAATGTTGTTAATCTGATCACCAATCACATCTCACAAATTTCAATTCTTGGTACATATTCGTAGGTGCAGATTTGAGATCTACTTCTCGCAATCGCAAATTATGGATATGCGTACAATTTTGAGAATTTTTGAATTGCAGAAATATATCCAATCGTGCGTCACTGCTCGTCGACAAAAGATCAAGAACCTTCTTATAACACACCACTGTAGAGAACAGGCAAGCCGACGTCGAGTCCAGAAACAAATATAGCGAAGCGGTTCGCAATGTCAAAGACCAGCACGATGCAATTAAAAAATTAGTCGGTGTTTCTGGACGCTGGCCAAGCAAATTGAAGGGAACTTCTCAAAGATTTGCCTTCCACCGCTTACCTGCTAGAATGAAACAATTGTAGCGGCTTAAAGGCTAAGGCGGAAGTGTTTGACAATATTTTTGCTGCCAACTCCACCATGGACATCCCCCAACTCCCAAGTGCCGTCGATTCAAAAAGTTCCCTACCTTTCAGGCATAAAACCGTTAGACAGGTGCTCTTCTCTCTCGTCGACAACAAAGCTTCTTCTGCCGTTGTATTTTTTCAGATATCTTTTTTCCTAGACAACTGGAAATTTCCTCATGACATCATATAGCTCTGTTTTCTGTTAGACGTAAAGTGATTGAGGGTTGCCTAAATCGGGAGCTTCTGGGGTACCTCGAACGGCGCGGCTTGATTAGCGGCAGGCAGTATGGTTCCAGCACCAGCGATCCACAGGGGACCTCGAAAACGCAACCTTGCATCCTATGACCTCCCAGACAAGCTAGCAGATACTTGGCTGGCTTTCTCTCTGGCCGCAAGATATCCATCGTAATTAACCTGTTCCTCTAACAATACCAACTCGAGTGTTCCTCAAGGATCGGTCTTGACTCCAACATCGTGCCTCTTATACGTATATCAACGCCCTTCTTTCCTGTACGATCCATCCCATCCACAACTTTGCTGATGACATGCAGGAATTCAGAATGAAAACTCGATCTCTGCCGATGAGGTGGAGAAAAGAATACTGGCAGCGACTTTCGCTCTGACGAGAGACCTGGGGGGGGCACTTATTGGAGCCATCCTCGAACTTCGTTCATTCAGAACAGGTCGGTACGACCGCTCCTTTGTCCCTATGTTATCGAGAATGTGAAACAGTCTACCTGAGGAGTGGAGGGAATGAAGTTTCTTTAAACTCCTCATAGTACCCGCGGTATGAAAAAGGACATGGATTCCAAGGTCCAGAACTTATTTTCATTTCTGAAATAACAACATTGTATAGATAGATATATGTTTATTAAGCCAGAGAATGCACAGTGACATTTTTGGTGAGTCGAGGATTTAAGATAATACATAAAATCAATTATTATAAAAGCAGATAGAAATTCATACAAAATGCATACATATATAAAGCGTGACAACATATTAAAATTATAACACACTACGGTACAGACGAATATACAAACATGAGCAACATATTAAAAATATAAAATACAAAAAATTAAAAACTAGAAAACATCTAGGTAACAGAAACCGTTCTACAGTACAGTTTAAAATCGTCAACATTATATGGCGCTATGTGTATTAAAATTGATTTGACCTTCCTTTTGAAAAGCTTCAACGGCATATGGTTAAAACTCTCAGGAGGTTTATTATATGAAGACGAAGCCATCTGATTTTTTTAACAAATACTATTCCATATAGAGCAGGTGATATACAATATCTTAGCATCGCTGCTCCAAGGAATGTACAAATGTTACGATTTATACAATGTATTTTTTTTCATGTTTTAATATTGCATGACCCACATCGATGTTACCAACTTATCGATATGACTTTCAATCAATTCACCAATTTTTAAGTAGTAGCATTTTTCTTTATTGTGTATTTTTTAAATAAACCAGAATTTTTTTTATGCAAAATCCTGATCGTTTAATGCTTACCAAGCCTCATTTTTAATGTTTTTCAAAATGCAAACCTCTAATATTACTTTTTATCCAAGTAAACTATATTCTTCTTGCTTGTTGTATCTATCACTATTAAATTAAAGTTCGTAATTTTAAATTATTTCTAAGCCTACCTGACTCCAGCTTTTTGTCTAAAATCGTCAGCACTGGAATAAAAATAGTGGATATCTGATAATTTTCAAGGGTAACAACGTGGTTAAAGTGCAAAACGATTTTAGTTTTGGTCCAACAGCAGTTCAGTGAATTATAGAAATTATTGGCATATCGTTTGCCTTTCTTATAAATATCTTGTAGCAATTTCATGCCTGAACAAACCTAATTTTAATAACGTGACCTTTAGTTTCTTGGGCAGACACAGGTCAACAAACCTATTTTACTCACAAAGGAAATGAAGTTAACTTACAACTTTCTTTAAAATATTTACGTCATAGTATATAACCGCAAACTTTACATACTATTTTTTTTTAATTTGACAAGGTTGACATCCTCGGTCATTCCACTCCCCAATTGCACTCGATTCGATAGAAAATGAGCCGCTTGAATTTTTTTTATATTTTAAAATAGACAACAGACAGATTTATGTTTTCAGCTCCATTATTTGCCCTTGATCGTAAAATATACCAAACTTTTTTATTTGCATTTAAGACACGTCAAATGTTGAATGGTTGCGTTGCCAAATACGCATCTCCGGTTGTAATTTATTCTAAGAACCCATATTCTGGGAAGGAGCATTGCGGCCATTTCAAACCGAACGTTGTATAACATCTATAAATGGCGATGAATATACCAAACTGGTATAGGAGAATGTTGATAATGAACGCAGCTGACACAGAACCTTGTAACAGAAAACGGTTCGTTCTGGTGATGTTAAGAAAATTGTTACTAGCTACTAATGAGATCCTGTAGGCCCCAGGACAAACTTGTTGGTCACTGATTGGCCCACTTTTCAGCATCTATTTTATCGAGTCAAAGTCCCGATAGCATTGCAGCTCTTCAGGCTTATTGTTATTGTTATTGTTGAGTTGATCTTCAAGCTACTTGACTTGGCTTGAAATCAAGTCAAGCTCAAGTCGAGTATTGGGTATAAATAATTTGATATCAAGTCTTGTAGTTTTTATGTATGTCTATCAAGTATGTATACGTATAAATATGAAAAAAAAAAGATCCTGTACGGGACATCTGTTACTTTTTGCAAAACCACAAATAAAAATAACCTTCGTACTTCATGCTACCATTGCTTTAGTGGAGAACCTATAAAATATGGAACCATTTCTGTTTGTTTTGTTCAGTAAATAAGGTAAACATAGTAGTTATTAAGATTTTTTTCAGACTCAAAACAATGGTAAAGGTTGAAAATTAACTTTATAAAAGTGTGCTTTCCGGTGAATGTAAATCTAACATTCTAACTTATACAAGGTGGCGATTAATTTTTCCTACAACAACAGATTTTGGAAAATGCCAGTTATTTGACAAAAAATCCAGTTACTGGACACATAACATTGAGTTATTGGACAGACATAAGGCAAACTGTTCCATATCAAAGATAGCTTTTTATTGAAGGCTAGACATCAGAACAGACCTACAGTTGAACTGAACATAAACTAGTACTTAGATTTTTCTGTCTGGTACCATTCGAATAGCTTGTTCACCTCCATCGCTGTTCCTCGATTCTCTGTCATTCAATCCCGAACATTCACTAGATCGTTCTTCTTCGTCTTCACTTTCCTCTTTATAACAGTCATGGCAAATGAATAAATCGTCATCACCTAATTGCGGCATGTGCTTATGGTGACCTTTTGGAACACACTGACGATGCATCCTTCTATTGCAAGAGTCGCACAAAGATAGCTTTTTGTAGTTTTGAGCGTACAGATGCTATATTTTTCTGCAGTAGTTGTCTTCTCTTTTGCTTCTTTAGCTGCAGCAATTTCGTCTCTTTTTCTTTTCCTTTCTTGTTTCTCGGCTTCCATTTGTGACTTTAGAGCGCGTTTCTTTTCAGTGTCTTATTGGTACCTTCTTGATGTCACTGCAAATCATGCGCGCTCTACTTGACGCTTATTTTTTCTTGCAGGCTTTTCTGGTACATTTAAGTAGCTGGAATGCTCTTACTAGAAGGCAGTGTTGAAGGCGATTGAGTCACATTCATAATATTTCCTTCTTTTGTAACGTTGTTTTCTAAGACTTGGATTGTTTTTGGATCATTGTTTGTTTCCTGCAACGCAGTTTTTTCATCGGATGAAAAATCTGATTTTCCAAAAAAACTCCAAATGTTGTAAAGGGTCCGAAATTCGTCACATCTACCTTCTGTGGGCTCTGCAGTTCCATCAAATGATTTGAATTTTGCAATCATTTGTTCTCCCACTAAAGTTACAAACAATTTTTGATCTATACTTGGTGATTGCATATATCTTCTTTCATATCTACTACTGTATTTTGTGGAACGTTTTCCTTCCACAGACACTTACTAGAGTCTACTGCATCTGGATTCAAAGGAAATAGGCCACATGCACGGAATCCAGTGACCAGAGTTTCTGACTTCACGATATTTTTTACAACATTTCTAGAAGTGGAGCAAAAGTGAGTTTGTTTTCGAGCTCTCCTGGATATTTCTCGTTAAATTCCCTAATAGCTTTTTTCCATCCCATCTTAATAGGTCTAAATACCGCCAGATGGCATGGTCGAAGGATCCTTGTAGCATTAGGGTACAAAGCTTCGATGTTGAGATAATTACAAAGTAGACTCAGCTCGTATGTCAGGTGTGACTTATGACTATCTAAAAATAGCACAATCGGAAAAGTGGTGTCCTTCTCAACTAAAAATGGATGAAATATATTTTTTATGTATTCATAAAATGTATCTGCAGTCATCCAATCATTATCACATCTTCCAACTCCCCAGTCCGGATTCACTCTTAAACTTATTTTTTCTGGAATTCTCTTATAGGGGTAAATTATCATCGGCGGACAAGTGATTCCAGAAGCCGAAAATGAAAACATAACAGTAATATTCTCTTTAGGAGATCCCTTTTCGATAGTGTATATATTTTTCGCACCTTTTGCAGCATAAACTTTACCCGTATTCGTCGCAATTGTAGACTCTGGAGGGATCTTCCATGCTAATATTCTTTGAATCCAGGTACATTTTTAAATCGGTGAACCAATTCCGTATGTCCTTTTCTGCCACACAAGCACTTGCTGCACTAACTGGTTCGCTTGTTCGTTGTCTAATAGATGGCTGTCTTTTTAGAAATGCTTTGAACCAACACTCTCCTGGTCTATTGTTGTTGAATGGATTAGGGCGAGGATTTGCTATTAAAAATTTTTGGAGGCTATGCATTATGTCATCCTCTTTTCTCGGAAATCCACGGGACGCTAGCTCTTTTATCCACTCAACAAGTTCATATTCTTCTTTCGTCGAAAGTACTGGAGATGGGCCGCATATATTTTTATGACCTGGATTTTTTATTTTGATTTCTAATGTGGATTTTAGGATCCCATATTTATTAGCAGCAGCCCTGTAAGGCATGTTACTATTTTTAACTTCCTGTATTGCTAATTCCATCAAATTTGCATCATATGAATGCTTTTTTGGCATGTTTGGTAACCTTTGGATGACCTGGAAACCACAAGCTTAGTTATCGGACACGTACTAAGTTATTTATTGGACAGGCGTCCAATTACTGGATGTACATCATATAAATCACTTTCAATTGTATATTTGAATTCAGAAGAACATTCTAGGAAAGTAGTGCAGTCAAACTGAAAATGTCATGCAAATTTCAATTATTGGACAAATGTCCAACAACTGAAAAACTTAAAAAAATCATCGTAGTTATTGGACACCCTTCCAAAAAATAACCTTACTTGTTATTTTTGAAGTAATACTCTAGACATGCTCACCCTTGGACTAGCGGTACACTTTGTATATAAATTATCCTTAGCAGTTGATAGCAGTTCAACCTTTTCACAACTTCATCAAACACCCTTAACAAAACAACAAGCAAACTGCCTCAACAACACAGGTAGCAGGTACATGCGATTTGGCGCCAAAATGGATTACAGGATGCCTTGCATGTAAGATGAATCATGATGCCATGATCATAGTTTTGCCATCTAAGACTGAATAGCCGAACTAATACATACAGATTTCTTATTTTCCTTGAACAAAGACAAAGTGTCCAATAACTGCCGCATGTCCAATAACTAACTCGTTTACCCTATCACATTGTTGTATATAAAAAGTTCCATACCAATTGTGCTATTTATTCGCTGTATCCTTGGATCCCGGACAAAGTAAATAACTTGCATCCTCTTGTTTCCACAATTCTGTATTATATCAACGTTCCTGTAATAATGTGTTCCCTTAAAGTCTACCCTATGTTTTCTTGTGCCATATTGTTTTGTTAAATACAGCACAAATGATTTTATCAGTTATACATAAAGTCCCACGTTATTAAATTAGGTGATATACAAAGTACCTAACCTCTTGTAAGTATTATATGTATTATTAATCGATAGCAGCGATATTGTGAGATTATCATTAAAAAAGTTTTTCAGAATATCCATACTTGACGCGCTTATGCGCCCCTCTTAATATCCTATAGCGGATCTTGTGCGGTATTTTCGCCTTGACCGAGTCACAGTTTTAATCTTGATTGAATCATCCGAGATGACTGCATATTTCAAGTAACTGCACACGAGATGTTGCAAAAAGAATCATCAGCATTACTTGGATGTACATTATATACGTATGCATACACGATTGTTGCATCTACTGTCCGGTATTTTTTCCGGGAAGCCTTGGCCCTCCGCAACTAATGTCGGGAGAAACTCGGTTGGGTTGTAGCGCCATCTTCTTTAGTAATTTGTGGTGGGTGATATTTTTTTAAAAAAATTATAATATCAACCACTCACCTACTGACAGAAACTGTCCATCGTTCAAATATTTTCAGGAACAACAAAACGTAAGGATACTTTTTTAAAATTCAAGTTCATCTTTTGATACTCCTATCTCTAAAGAGAACCCAAACATGTCAGTAAATAAATACATTAATGATTTCCAAATTCCAAGTATTGCAACAAATATAGCATAAAACGTCGATGAACTTAATTTATGTACACAAAATTCTGATACATAGTTTCGAATTTTTAATATGAACATAAGGAGTATAAAACACAAGATTGATTACTTAAAAATACTACTCGACCAAATATGGTACAATTTTGATCTAATAGTTTTAACTGAAGCGTGGCAAGTGGTTGATATTTCTTACTTCAATCAGCAGGGTTATGACATGCTGTATAACTTTGGCACTTATAACCAAAACGATGCGGTGATGTTTTTATAAGAAATAAACTTCAATATAATCATGATACATTTACTTTTACCGATGGAATCAAAATTTTAAACATAATGATCCAAATTAACCATAACAAAGTTGAGGTTTCTGCAATTTATCGTCCGCCATGTTCAGAACCCCACGAGTTTTTAAAGATTATCGATTTTTTTTTTAAAATCAAAATAACGTTCATTTAAAGCAACATATCTTCTTGGGAGATGTCAATATAAATATTTTGGACGATGATCCCATCACAAATGAATACTTGAATATCCTATCAAGTAACGGATTTCTGTCATATATAAACCTACCTACAAGGTCCATCATATGTATATATCACTGCTTTGTGAACGACCTATCCAACAAAATTACTTGTATACCAATAATCCTAGAAGGCAATATTACTGACCACTTCTCTATTTTACTGATATCTTCAAATGAAAAACATTCTAACATCCCTACCGTTAATAACAACCAGGAAAATTACAAATCTTTTGTCGACAATTCAAAACTAATATCAAATGTCAAACAAGAATTCTGGGAACAAGTATACTCTATAAATAATATAGACAAAGCAACGGGACTGTTCGTAGAGAAAGTAAAAAACTAATAGATATTAGTACCAATAAAGTAATAATTAGTCACAAAGAGAAAAGCAGAAATGCCTGGATTACCAAATGATTAATAACATTGGCAATAGAAAAAGAAAGACTGTATAATGTAATGAAACTAACGCCAACTACAGAGAATATCGACTGCCAAACGAAAACATTACCTAAATAAATTGAATAATAACCTAAATGATCCTAAGCGGCTTTGGACAACTATTGATGATATTACTGGGAAAACAAAATTTAAAAAGTGTGTCACTGAGTTAAATACAACATCGGGAACAGTATTAAAAAATACTCAACAAATATGCGATGAATTTGTATAATTTTTTACTGACAGGCGAAAATTTAGTAAGTAATATACATGCAAATGTACCAGCCTCCAAAAAGATCTTTGAACACATTTATTTTTGATGAAGTTGAGCAATATGAAGTATACACCACTGTTATTTCCTTAAAAAATCGAAAAAGTCCTGGGTTCGATGATATTAAGAGCGAGCATTTGAAAATTATAGCCGAGGATATAACAGAACCACTCACTTACCTAATCAACAAATGCTTTGAATCTGGCATATATCCCTCAATTTTAAAAAAAGGTAATATAATACCGATACATAAATCAGGAACAAAAACAGATGTTAACAACTATAGACCAATATCAATAATATCCAGTGTAGCAAAGGTTTTTGAAAAAGTTTTATCTACTAGAATGATTCGATACCTCAGAAAATTAAAAATTTTAAGTGAAAATCAATATGGATTTACAGAAGTGAAGGCTACATCTGACGCAATAACTAAAATTGTAAATCAAATACATCAAAATATTGATAACAGAATCCCTTCAATTTGCATTTTTGTTGATTTAAAGACAGCTTTCGACACAGTTAATCACAAATTATTATTAGAACCATTAGAGAGAATTGGTTTCAGAGGAGACGCGTACTCACTGATCGAAAATTATTTATCAAATCGTCCACAATCTGTGCAGATATCAGGATCGTTTAGTAAAGAAATGTATATTAAATGATAGATAGATAGATAGATAGTCTTTATTGTCTATTGGTCATAAATACCTATGACATAAGACTTGTCAACATTATATATACAATACATAAGTATGCGATATGCAAAAAAGAACAGGTAGTTAATTAAAACAATAATTGAGATAATAAATAGTAAACAAATAAATAAATAAAATAGGAGTCATTACAAACACAAAAAAATTCTTAATGACATCTAACGAACATGAACAAAAATCAATTTTAAATAAATAAAAACAATTGAGCACTTAAAATGTCTAGATGAGGAGCAATAAATAGACTGTTTCTTTTCCGTTAAGCTTAATAAATAAATAAAAAGAATAAATAAATAAGTAAAATTAAGCAGTTAGGAATTCGTCGACGGTGTAGTAACACTTTCCAAATTAATTGTGTTGGCAAAATAACTAGTTTTGCAGATGATACTGCAATATTATATGAAGGCACTGACTGGTCTGATCTGAAAAATGTAATTGAAAATGATTTTATCAAAATTATTCGGTGGTTTAACAGTAGAAAATTAAGCATCAACTATTCTAAAACACATTTTTTACCATTTGGATCTTATGCTAGATATCTGCCAAATTACACAAATTCCTCCTTCAACATTACTGATCAAAAAATGCAAATTAATAGAGTGCCCAACATAAAATACCTTGGAGTGGTCTTGGATCCTCACTTACGATGGGAAATCCACGTCAATTATATTTTAAAGAAAGTTAGATTTGTATCCTACAAAATTAAATACCTTGGAAATATATTGACAGAAAAATATCTTCGAACATTATACCATGCACTGATTGAGCATCATCTCACATTTGGTATATTAGCATGGGGAGCTGCATGTTCCTCACATATCTATAATTTAGATTTTTTTCAAAAAAGTATTCTAAAAATGATATTTAAAAAACCGAAACTTTATCCCACTGACAAATTATACGCGAATGTATGATATAAGACAGCTTTATTTCTTACACAGTATCACTCACTACCATAAATTTGTAAACACCGACCAAAAAATTAAACATATCATCATTATACAAGGTACAAAATTCGTGGCACAGTAGTTTCTCAGCCGCATAAATCTCTATTTAGCGCGAAATAATGATAACAATGAAATTAACGAAATTGATGCAAAGATAAAAATGTTATTTAAAATTTAATTCAAACAAAATTTTGTTTGTAGGGTTAATTTTGCGTTGCAGTTTATATTATCAAAATTTTGGTGTTTCTCTTCGAAATTCTTGCGTTGTAATTTGTAATCGCCTGCCAATCATATTTTTCTGCCTAGCAATGCACAAATTAAATAATGTTAGAATTAAACTTCAAGCTAAAGTTTATTTTTTCAAATCTCTTAGCAATTCCAGAAACATAAAAACAAACACGGTATCATCTCTAAATATATATAATATATTAGATTTAGCTAGCCCTTTTTAACAGGATTCTATTAAAATTGTGGATTAAAATGTCTACATTACAGATAGGAAGCGAATTTCTATATTATTAAAAGTGTAAAGTTCGTTTCATTGTTTATTGAAATAACCGATTTGTATACTATTTCCTGACCGATAAAATAACGAAAACCGCACTAAACACAAGAATTTCTGC